GCCAAAAGCTTTATCTGATGTTTTGCTTGCTCATGTGGACTGTCTTAGGCATGGAAAAATAAAGAGCAGTGAAAACCAGAGGCTGTATCATTGACCACAACCAACATAGGCCTGTGGCAGCGGGAGTGCTCCCACTGTTGAAGTATACTTACTGCGTATTGACAAAAACATGTATATTAGCAATGATACTTCCACATTTCCTGTCTGTTATGTTAATGTGTATTATTTTTTGGACTGTTTGGATCAAAATAATGTTTAAATATCAATTGTAGAATAGAGTTCCTATGCATACATGAGTGGATTTTTAGAAGCCTCAGCACCTATCTAGATGTGGGAATACTCTAACCAAGCTCATCTATCAATCTCCCTCCACGTACGACAGTTAATTTGCTTCCTTTTCCGGTGCGCATGTTTCTGTGTGTGAGTGTGAAGTGTGTCAGTGTGTGTTTTTCAGGCACTGAACGCCCCTGAGGAGGAGAAGCCAAAACAAATGTTAATGCCCACAGAGGACTCTAATAGTGTGTGAGTGAGTCAGTGAAGTGAAAGAGACAGTCAGTGAGAAGTATAGACCCTATTTACATTAAAACGTGGCCAGCTACTGTTCTGTCTGTTCTGTATATAAAACTTCTTGATTTGCAGAACAGAAACTCATTATGCTGCTGAAAGCTGCTATTCATTTCCTTCTGCTAAACTTCATTTTATTTCATTTCAAGGGAGACTAAGCAGCCTTCCATTGTTGTACCATTTACTGATTAAGCAGCTGCTTACCTTGACATGCTACCTTTAGATAAACTGCTTCATGTCAAATGTTTTACTGTATAGCTCATGAAAAAGTAAGAAAATAAGTAGAAATATGATCAAATATATATATATGTTCTGCTGTGTCTTTACTAAGACTTTTAAAAGTTATGCTAGTAATGATATTTTCTGAGGTCTCTTATGGTATTTTCTTTTGCCAAGGTTCTCCCTTAAATGATTTCACAGTAGAAAGTGACTTTGTCTCCACATTTTTTGGTGTACCACTGTATAAATAAGGCTGGGTGATAAATCAAATTAGATACATTTCAACAGTTTTTGCACAATATGTAAACATTCTTGTTATAGTGTGTAGGAAAAGGGTTATTTTCAGTAACGAAGATGATAGCTGGCTACAATCGTTGTCTCAAGTGACTATAAAGTATTCAAGACGAAAATCATCCACTTTGAAACACTCTCCATTTCATGTTATATGTAACATGTAATGGAAAATTTGACCTGTATATTACAGTAAGTGGCAGGATTTGCAGCAAATGAATAGTAAGGGGATCAAAGGTCACAGAAAACATAAAATTACTCTAGAGTTCTGTTTCATTTATCATTCACTTGCTTCCCAGATGTATTGTATTTAATAGCACTGCCATTTTTGCTAAAATGGTCAACACGACAACACTGCAGGTCAATCCTATACACTCCAATGTATAGGATTTAGTGGCATCTAGCAGTGAAGTCAGATTGCAACTAACAGAACACCGCTCACGTTTGTATTTGCATACTGGGAATGAGAACGGGCTGTGAAGAGTGTGTAGGAGAAACTACTCTGGTCGCAAAACTAGCCAAAAATGCAAAAGGCCCTATCTAGAGCAAGAATTTGGTTTGTCTGTTATGGGCTACTGTAGAAACATGGTGGTTCAACATGGCGGACTCCACGGAAGGCAACCGTGTAGATAAAAACGACTCAGTCTGAGGTAAGAAAAACACAACAATTCCTATATTCAGGTGATTATACACTACTGAAAACATACCTATGAATATTATATTCCATTTCTGACAATAGATCCTCCTCAATGTTACACACTGGACCTTTAAGTAATCTCGTTAAACACATTATTGCAACTATCTAAAAAGATACATTTATCACATCCTGAATAAAATAGAATTGATGCTCAAACGTTTTCTGTACGCAAACATCTCACCTGTTGCTGCTTGATAAAACAAGCTGATAACATAGCGTACTAATAGGTCTAACATTACTGTGATTCATTAACAATTACCTAATTTGGGGCGCCCTATAGCTCACCTGGTAGAGCTGGCACCCCATGTACCAAGGCTGAGTCCTTGCTGCAGTGGCCATGGGTTTGAATCTGACCTGTGGCCCTTTGTTGCATGTCATCTTCAGCTGTCCTATCCAATAAAGGCAAAAAGCCCCAAAAATATATATTAAAAAAAACAAAAAACTAAAGAAAATAATAGTGCTGTCAGTTTAACGCATTATTAACGGACTTAATGCAAACCCATTTTAACGGCGTCAATTTGTTTATCGCGAGATTAACGCCTAGCACACTTTGTAGTTTTTTTCACATGCTGTTGCAACAACTAGTAACGTTAGAAAAACTACAACACCACACTGGATCTAGCTAGCCCGGAAACAAAACAACAGGCACGCCGCACACACTTGTTTAAGAGTAGTAGACGTTACGTTTTGAGTGGATGGCGAGCACGGGACGCCGAAATGGATGGATTCCTTTTTGTCTGAAAATGTCAACAGGCCTGTCTGTTTGAGTAACTGGCTCAAAGCAAAGAAGTAGTAGGCTTACCTTTTATTGGTAGCCGTTACTGTTCATTCTTTCTGAAATAAGAGGCTGGGTTGATGAGCCTCTGGTGAATAAAGAGCAGTAGCCTGACTGCTATGTTCAAAGCAAACTTGAGAAAAGTATTAAGCCATGGTTTAACTGCACTATAGGCTGAGTCCCAGTTTACCTTACATTTGCACTTTGTAATTTTATTTTGTATCGCCCTGTTTTGATCCCTTAGAAAGGGCTGTTGAAGGGGCTGTTTGTGTGACAAAGTATTTTTTTCACCCTTTTATTGACAGACAGTGTTACATTGTGTGAGAGATTATTTGCTCCAAGTGAGAATGTTAGTGTGAAATTGAACACTACAGTATATGCCAATGTTGTTTTCAATAAAAACAACATTTGCACAAAGCAAGCCGATCCACTTTTCCATGTTGATAAGAGCATTAAAATGAGAAAAAATAATGGGACAAAAAGAAATCAAGGGACATTTAGAATAAATAAAAATGTGCGATTAATTGCGAGTTAACTATGACATTAATGCGATTAATCGCGATTAATATTTTAATCATTTGACAGCACTAAAAAATAATGAACATAACTTTAAATCACCAACTTTGGTTCATCTATAGTCACAGATGGAGGCAAACTAAGTTTGATGATATGCGAACTCCCACAGCGTTTTGAAATATGATAGGAAACAAATGAAAAGAGAAAAACATAATACATTTTTTTTGCTTGACAGTACAGCTTAAGAGGATTATTTTGTTTACTTCAATATATTGCCACTCCACTTCTGTTCCTTCACATCATTATCATTCACTCATTTCACTTTGCCTTCACTCTCCCACTCTATGCATTTGTCACTTTTTCATTTTGTCTTGACAGCTTGTTCTCTCACTGCTCTGTAGAGCATAATGTATGCACACCATTGCTCCAAGATATGTTCATCCCTCACACTTTGTCTTCGTTTGTGCTACTAAATCATTCAGTATTCAGTACTTATTTATATACACACAGCTCATATTTTCTCTATGGAAGTAAAGAAAGGAATAGTGGCTGTAATTTCTATACAGTTCATGCCACAAAATTGGGACTGAACACTATTAAACTCATGCACTTTTCTAAATGTGTCACGTTACCAAAGGAGAAAGAATTTTTTGCAAGTGAGAAAAGTGTTTCAAACATCATTATCTACTGTTGCAATAGTAATGCAAGAGTCAAGACTTTGCGTTTCACTAATGAAATCTGAACTAACTCTGTTGCTGAAGAACATGTGCAACACATGGGTTTAAAGCTGCAGTAGGTAACTTTTATAAAAATAATTTTTTGTCATAATTGCTGAAACTTTCACTATATCCTGACAGAAGAACATGAGACAGATAATCTGTGAAAAAAGTTCAGGTTACTCTTGCTCCTCCTAGTGCTTGTAATAACATTTAAAAGAATCCACCGGGCCTGAACAAAAACAACCAATCAGAGCCAAGAAAGATAGTTTATTGTTAAATCTTCTTTAACAACAACAATCAACTATTTTCAAGCCACCAACCCAACGCGTCGTTATTTGAAGACCTGGGAATGAGACGTAACAATCAACTATCCTTCTCGGCTCTAATTGGTTGGTTTTGTTTAGTGCTGCACAATATGGTAAAAAAATGCGATTATTTTGACAGATATTGAGATATGGTTCACTATGAGTAGGAATAATTATTTTTGTGTCACAAATTTAATTTCCACTTTAAAAAAACGATGTGACATATGTTTGGGTCTGTACCAAAAAAACATTACTTACATCTGGAGAAGAAGATTTATAGGCCAGGGCATCTGTGCAGCACTACAGTACTTCCTTATATTTATTTACTTGATTTAATTTCTTTTTTGATTGTTTTTTATTGCATGGCTATTATTTTTACTCATGTTTTATGTCTTTTCATTTTATTGTTGTATTATATGTTATTTTGCACCTCATGTGAGCTGTTATGTCTTTTATTTATGATGTCTTATTTATTCTCCTGTACAGCACTTTGGTCAACTTTGTTTTTTTTAAAGTGCTTAACAAATAAAGTTGGATTGGATTGGATTGGATAATGTTGTTTGTCACACATTTTACCTTTATCACAAAACTTCAGATTCTTGTGATTTGGATATTGCACTTGATTTTGATAATATTTTCATTAATTATGCAGCTCTAGTTTCGTTCCCGTCTTAAAATAATCCTGTCCTTTTGTTCTACTGCATTCAAACAAGCCATTGTAAAATGATCATCATCATCATCATCATCATCATCATCATCATCATAAAGTTTTCATGCTATGAAGATGGATTCGGTGCACTACACAGACAAGTATGAACATGTTATGAGCATTTCAGCATGTTTATGTATTGTGTGTGTGTGTGTGTGTGTGTGTGTGTGTGTGTGTGTGTGTGTGTGTGTGTGTGTGTGCTGACCATGGAGTCTTCGTCAGCGATGAAGACGGTACAAGCCTGGGCCTGCATAAAAGACAGGATGGTTCCTGCGATCTTCCTCAGTAAAACCTCCAGACACTGCTGCTCCTCAAAGATGAGACTGGCCAGGTCCAACAGCACCTGCACACAGCACACACACACACACACACACACACACACACACACACACACACACACACACACACACACACAAATACATCTTGTTCAGAGTCGTGTCTATGAGTGCACACACGCCTTTGGAAACACCTTGGCACCCACCTGATTGCGTCTGTTTTCCAGCTGCGATGTCTCGTAGAGCTGAGCGTTGTGCAGGACAATGCCTGAGAAGGCCAAATAGGCTGAGAAGTCCTGGTGGAGAGGAAGAGAACAACATGTGAGCACCACCTACAAACACGGGGGGGGGAGGAATGAAAAGAAGCCAGACTGTTGCATGGAAAAAAGATACATCAATAAAGGAGGAGGAGAAGGAGAAGGGGAAGATGACGGATGATATGAGGGAGGGCAAATACAGGTGGACAAAGAAGGACTGAGGTTTTACATGCAGTGTATTTGGGGGCTTTACTAACCTTTTCGTCCTGGTCAGTGAAGGCACCATCCTCCCCACATTTCTTATTGATAGCTTGAGCCACTCCAACTACCTGTAATGGGCAGGATTGATAAAACAGAGTAAAGCTGATGAAAAGGAGAATTTGTTCTTTTACATAAATCTAAAAAAGAACTTGTATAACCTGTGTTGACTTTTAATATGGAAATCGGTGTGCAAAGTTATGCCAGAGTCTTTGTACAACTAAAAATAGAGTTGTACAGCTGAGATATACACAGCTCTGTTGAAAATAAAACTTTTTCTTTGAAATGATGCACAACAACCAGAAAAACGTGGCTGTCAACAAGGCCTGCGTCGCTAAAGCTGTTTATTTAAAAAGGATGCAATAAATCCGTGAAACTGATTTACAGAATCAATTTTGTCCGGAGAGACTGGAACTGTAAAAAGTCAGGTTTGATTCCTACAACAGCTAACCCGGGACCCAGCTGGAAAAGCTATATATCTAAATGGCTCAAGGGCACTTAGGCAACTTAGTGAGCACTCAAGCGAACAGTACAACATTATGGGGGATGTTCTTATTAACTGTTGACTCTATATCACTTCAACTGTCCATGCTCAGTACAGAGAGAGGTCCAGAATAAGCGGTATCTATCTTCAACTCTGGTGAAGACAGAAAACTAAAATATCTCTGAAAATGAATGTTTCTTTAAATGTTTTCAAAATAATTTTGGTTTGAACTTATATAGCTCCCAACAACTGCAAAAATAATATATATCAAAAAAATATAATGGAGAAATTTGTTTGAAAAAAACTTTTTCTCAAGGTTTTCTTACTAGCTTTTTTGGGGCTTTCAGCTAAATCATGGTCTTCCTCAGTGGATAAAGTTTTCTCAGTTGTCATGGAGATGGCACAGTGAAGTTCCATTCTTAGTTACATGATGACAATTGAGCCATCTCTATCACAACCAAGCAAACTCCATCTGCTGAAGAAGACCATGAGATGCGACTGAAATAACTGAAAAAAGCTAGTAAGTAGACATTAAATTACATATTTTGTAAAAAGAATGTAATAAAGATGTTCGTCCACTGGCTTTATATGCTGGCTTTATAATAATATGTAATACTCAATTTATATAGCACCTTTCAAAACACAGTTGCAAAGTGCTTTACAACAAAACAGAACAAAAAAAAAAAAAAAGCTATTAACAAAATTTTTTTTTTAAACACAAGCTGTACTGGATGCAATGTGCACTGTTACCTCGTCTCTGTGGTTCTTGATGGGCAGGCAAAGGATGCTCTGGGTTTTGTAACCTGTGATCAAGTCCACCTCAGCATTGAACCTGGGGTCCTGGGGAGACAAAGCATATATACAGAACTCAATCCCATCTTTAAAGCAATAAAAACTGTTTCCAGCAGATACAGATTTGATACATTTTGGGACTGACATTTGCTTTCGGTAATGATATCTGGCCTGGTCAGTGCCTTTCAGATATTGCTGGTGCACACCTGCTGAGACTTGTTGGAGCGCGTGCAGTGAGAGGGATACTTGGCATTTGTGTCAAGAGTTTGGAGGGTGGTGTCTTTTTTTAGCCTTCCCATAACCAAAAACACAAGAACAGCAGGGTAATAAATAGATTTAAGTGCTTTTATCAGCTAAAATGAAAGATGCAATTGTTAGCATGTCCTACATACAGTAGAAAACTAGCTTTACTCCTTTTTGGATTTGGGATCTGGCCAAATACCTGAAGTAGCATTAGTTGCTGTAAACACGACCATAAGTAGCCAAACAGGGTTATTCTAGAACGAAACAGCAGCGTAATATTAAAGAAAATACTGTATAATAATATACCAGCACTAGCTCTACAAGAACAATGCTATCTACTACGGATCATCAGCGGGTGAGGATGGTGACTTTGACTTTCCTACTTTGGGACATGAGTCACAGTCTTTTAGCACGATATCATGTGCATAGCCATCAAGGGAATAAAGATTCACTTTTTAAAGCAAGTCAGCTAGAAACATTAATAAGCATTTGGTTCACTTCTGTGAAGAAATGTAAATGTAAAGTCATTTGTAAAGTAAGTTGTCTAATTGTCAGTCTTTATGATTGTTAAAATACATAATACATAGAATTGTATAAAAAGTTCCATAAACAGGAAATAATCTGCTCAGAATTCATCCAAATCACTCCTTTTACACAAACATCTTGCAGTTATTGAGCTCATTATGTGGGTTGAATATAACATGAAATCAATAAAATATGTCAGTTTACTAAATATATAGATAATTATAGATAGATTATAGATATAAAAGGGGTTGGGAACCACTGGGTTAGAGTGTTTTAAAACAACTAATGTAGCTAACATTGGCTTTATTTGCTACCTCTGATCAAATCCAGTAACACGGTCAATAGCTAGAAATCTTCTTTTGTCTCAAATCAAGGACGAATTGTTTCAAAAACAGCAAGAATTTAAAGCAGTTCATCTTCCACTGTCACCTGCCTTTCTGAGCACTGAAAGCATGACGTAGCAACGCTGAATAAGGTGGGTGGGGTTTAGCGAGCTGTAAATTAAGAGAGAACGTTTGAAAGTGTATGAGCCATCAGCAGATTCGGTCCAGAACTCATCTGTTCTCAAACTCTCGTGAACGTGAGCGCTTCTACCACCTACACTGCAAATGCAGGAACAATTTGCATTAAAAAAAATGATATTCTGTATTAGCTGCAGCACATGCAGCTGCCAGCATTATGCAACACAAAATTCCACTCTTCTCCAAAACAAAAGCCTCGCAGTTTTGTTAGTGCTTGGTATCAATCACAAGGAGGCACAAAGAGAGAGAAGTGGCCTCTGAAGGTATGTTAAGGACCGGTGGGTGGAGAGATGTTTTGTTTAGAGGACTATTCTCCTGTTGGACAGGCTGACCTTTAAACACTCTGCCTCCCTCTGTCCATTACCATAATCCTCTAAACTCAATAGGACTGTGTGTGTGTGTGTGTGTGTGTGTGTGTGTGTGTGTGTGTGTGTGTGTGTGTGTGTGTGTGTGTGTGTGTGTGTGTATACAACTATGACTAGAAGAGGAGCACTACACCAGTTTCACAATTCTAAACACAAAAGGTTTGGTATGGTTTGATAAAATGGCTCCTCATGTTTGTATAACAACAGGATGTTTGTGCATATTCCCAGGTTCCCAATAGCTCTATAGTGTACACTGTAGTGGCCCTTGTTTACAAGCTGAGAGAGAGGTATATATTGGTTGGAGCAGATGCTTCCTTGTCAATTTTTTGTTGCTTTACCAAATTAATTATGGACCTAAATTGCAGGAAAAGATGCTATCAATGAAATACAACACAAACTTTCTGCAAACATTTTTCAAATTAAAAGCCCAAACTATAAGCCCTTCAGCTGTATAATTCTTCTCCTTTTCTGGTAGACATCTGCAGGAAGCGCTGAGCAGCAGCTAAATGCCTATCAAAATACGGCCAACTGCAATTAGTTAGAGAATAACTTTATTTCTACCAAAGAGAGGAACTCAGAGCAGCACAGGGTGAGAATGTTATGACATGATACAATATGCTGAATTTATCATGTGAAACAATGGGCCTCATTCATGAAATGTTTGTATACATGTTTTATGCAAACAAATGGTTAGGGCAACTCGTACACAAATATGAGATAAGCACACATTTGTCTTATGTCTCGTGTTCTAGGCTAGTGGTTTTCAAACTGGGATCTGGGGACCAACAGGGGTCCTTGGGTGGGTTGTATGGGGTCCTCAGCAAAAGGAGGAATATAATATTTGAACTTTTGCCCATTTTTGTGAGTTGAAACAAGGGAAGAAATAGGGTTGGTTGTTCTGATTGAGTGATTATAATGTATTGGGATTCCATAACACACTGTCGTCTCAGATTGGGGGATCTGTGGTCTAATAAGTGCTTCCAAGAATTAATGCAAATTCAACCAATCCCTGTGAATTCTGCGCAACCTTCCAATTTTGTCCAACCGACGCAACCTTTCCACAAATATGACCAATCACTGTAGTTTCTCAAACTACACGCAAAACACTGAGTCATTCGTCACCTAACTACTAGCGATTTTATTCTAGAACAAGCTGCCTTTGTTTTTTAATGAAATATACCAAAGAAATGTGCAACTATTTGCAAGAAAATGCCTAAAAACATCGCAATATGCATGTCAATCGTTAGAAAAGCTGCTGTGAAATAAGGCATTTTAGGCAGCAACAATGCTGGAGGCACTGCCTAATGTGCATCTATTGTGGGAGTCCTTGCATGAAATATGTTCTAGACCATAAAATAGCAATGTTTTCCATTAATGTAATGTTTTTGCTATTTGGAAATTGGTTATTATTTGAAGATGATCTTTTATTAGTCAATTAACAGTATACATAGAGGAAATCTAAACCGACTGATAATGGGTTAAAACTTTAACCCAACCGTTGCCTGTTTCACTATGACTCACTCTGACACTAGCCGCGATAGCCTTTCAATACAGCAAACCTCTCTCCAGAGCACGACAACTATCTGCCCACAAAGTTCACACACACAATAATCTTTGTAAACCCAGGAAACATCAACTGAAACCAAAACAAAACTCAGTGAATGATAGATGAGTCCTGCAGGTTTTCTCCCCCTAAAGACTGCATTTTGGATGCAGCACAGTGCAGGCATTGATAACAACATCAACCCCCCAGCCTCTCTAAAGATGGCAGGGGGGGGTGTTTGTCATCATGCTGCAGAAATCAATGTAATCACAAGCGCACTAATGGGGAGGTAAAGATCCAATCAGAGAGCTGGGGAGTCCCTCAGATGACGCAGATGGACTCAGTATCATCAGTATCAGGTACTGCAGTAGCACACACTTTCATACACACACTTGCACAAATACATACACTCTACACATACACTAGATAAACTAGAGTAACACTGCATTGACTGAGTCAGTTACTGCACAGCATGATACACACTAGCATTGATTTATGTATGCACACACAGACAAACACACTCCCAAACAAACAAAAAAGTGCACTCACCTGGAAGAATACACACGCACACACACACACACACACACACACACACACACACACACACACACACACACACTTTTACACAAGTGCACAAAGACACGCACATGCACATACACACTCAAAACCGCACTTGAACCCTCAAGGGTACTCACTTAGAAGGTGCACACACGCACACACGCACACACACTCTGCAAGCTAATTGGACACAGGTGGACACTCCCATCAGCCACTCTTGTTCTTTATTTGTCATTTTCTCGCCCCATCTCCTCTCATGCATCTCTCTCTCTCTCCCTCTCTCAGTCATCATCATCATCATCATCTTGTGGTTGGCAGGCAACCAGAGGAAGGTACACAGCAGGAAATCTCTCTCTCTCTCTCTCTCTCTCTCTCTCTCTCTCTCTCTCTCTCTCTCTCTCTCTCCCACACACACACACACACACACACAGAGACACACACACACACACACACACACACACACACACACAAACAAATGATGTCAGACGCTGATGATGCTGTTTTGTGGTCACTGAGGTATGAAGACAGTCAAGTTTCATAATCAGTCTTAAATCCTTTTGTAAGATGTTTCCATGGCAGTGACGCAAAAAGTGTCCCTTTCCTTTCAACTGAAGGGTCTGTTTTTTGTACATGTGACTGATGTCTGCTTATTTTCAGCTTCTTTTCAGTCCACCTAACCATCAGATAAAGAGGAATACTGTGCATTATCAGTAGGCGCATGATTTTATCTTATTTTGTAAGTGAATTTTAAAATCCATAATGAGCATGTTTACAGGTGCACTAGTGTTCTGATTATGTGTTGTGCATGTTAACACCATATCCTGCTTTCAGAAATCATACAGCTGTGGTCATGTATACAGAGAGAGATAAGAATAACCAGACACAGTGTCAGACTTTAAAGACCCCAGAAAACCGAATTCTGAACATGAACATGAAGTGAACATGATGAAAATATAGAAAATCGAGTATCGATTCTCAAAAGCACTGTATGGACTTTTGTGTGTAAAGCCCAACAGCTAGACAGCAGTGTTGTAAACGTCAGGCTATGATGTTGGCTATGATGTTGGATGTTACAGGGAAGATCTAATTGTTTCATAAAAAAGTTCCTAATCAGACACTGACAGTGATTAGGCACTGACTCAACCTATCTCATTATAACAACATATGGGAGTGACATTTTCTAGCAAGAAAAGTTTCTTGTCTTAACTTAATAGTAAGCGCTTTTTGAAACAATAATTTAGGAAAAAATTATTGTCACAGCATAATAATTTGATATGGAAAATGTCTTCATGATGTAAAAAATGATATGGTTATAACTACAAAAAGCTCCAACTGATCAATTCTTATAGTTGAAGATAGGTTAAAATGTCCTCTCTTTAAACAATGACTGATATTTGTCCCACTTATAACAATGCATGGAAGGGTTTGGTAACATATAATGTTTATACAGATCACCTCCAGACGTGTATTAAAATATATAAGTCTGCTTGGAACAATAATATGTGTCTGATATGTTTTTTCTCCCCAAAAAAAAGAAAAAGAAAATTCCACATTAAAATTGTTAAAGAGACATCTACTCCTTCTACCTCGTTACATATTTCAGCTTCTCAACATATGTCCAGATTTTGAGATATCTGCCTCTCAGATTCTGTTCAGGGTGATGGCTATGAATGGAATCACATTTCAGGTGCTCACATCTTTGAAAAATAATTCCATGTAACACCTCTTTTCAGAGGCAGTGTCTTTGTCACTCTGGATAACCAAATACACAATGTGTGCATCTCTTCGTAGTGACTATCATCCTCACTTCCTAATACCTTTTGACACCAAGCTTGCACTGTACAGCTTAACTTCTACCGATTCGCTGCTGCACAGTCGAGTTCATGGCGGTTCACAATACCTGCTTCCAGTTTAGGAAACAAGACAAAAATCCTGCCAGAGCAGTGAGGTTCCACTTGTTTCCAATCAGGGCTTTCAGGGACGTTGTGGAAACAGCTGCCAACACCTTTGAACGTGACGGAATATCAAGAACAGGACACTCGAAGAAAGAAAATCCTTCAAATATGTCTCACTGAGATGATTTACATTGGAAAAAGTGGAGCTGTAAACTTCCACTGTCCGAACCCTCGACATGTAATTTGAAATATTATACACAAACACACGATTTTAACCCTATAAATCCACAAGACTATAGATTGTACGTCCATATGTTTGACAGTGTTCTCTGCCGAATAAAAATATAACATTCACACTGAAATTCATCGTGGAGGAAGATCACTCATAGCACACACACACACACACACACACACACACACACACACACCACACACACACACACACTAAAGTCAGACATATATGACCACACACACATCACATGCATTTAATTACAGCCACATACTTGCTTCAACTCTGTATTGTTGCTTTCTCTCCACCATCCTCTTTCACACACACGCGCCACACACACACACACACACACACACACACACACACACACACACACACACACACACACACACACACCACACACAACGTGCACATCTGCTTCTTTTTGAAGACGCTCATGACTCTCCTGGCGGAAGGTCGCCCTCTGTGAGCAGCCAAAATGATTTTCCTGCTACATTCTACTACACTCCCGTCACTTCCATCCCATCCTTATAAATCCTTCACTATCAGTGTGCAGGAGTTAATCGGACAACACTGTTTTAAAAACAACAAGGTGAAGACTTATAGAAATAAAGTTAGGAGCAGCTGGAGGGGTTAAAGGTCAGCGGCTCAATCTGCAGGGGTCACGCTGCTGAAATCCAATCTGCAGCTGCAAATTAGGGGGAAAAAGGTTTAAGGTCAACTATTCCATTGGTTTTTTTATGGAATTGACTGCATTTATATGCCACTGCATTTATCGCACTGGCCTAACCATCATGAGTATCACAATTAAATTACTCTATTATAAAATTGAAAAACTAATCTTTTATTATAGTATTATTATATTATATATAATCTATTATAATATAATTCAACCTTTTGGGAAACACATTTTTGCATCGTTCTGACAACAAGATAAGATGATTGATATCATTCTCATGTCTGGGTTCGGAAGTCTGGAAGCTGGGGGGGAACAGCTAACCTGACTGTGTCAAAAGTTCAAATATACACCTGCCAACACCTCTAAAGCTCACTGTCACGCACAACTAACAAACATGTTCCATCTCGTCTGTTCCCAAACTGTTTTCCTTGGAGGGCCAAAGAGACAGAGACTTAATAGTGGGGCACGGGCCAAAAGCAAACACCTATTGTACTGTATTGTTAAGATGCAAAATGGAACTAGGTATGGAGGACCAAATGTAAAAATAGGTTACAATTTTCTAGCTGATATATTTAGATTTCCTTTTTTTTGTCATAACTCTCCCAAGTTCACTTAATTGACTGACTTCCTGCGCAAAGTGTCAGATTATAAAAAAGAATTAATAATTCAGGAATTTACCTCACAAAAAATATTACAACATAAACCACAATTTATATTATTATTATCATTTTTTAAAACAAATGTATATACTTTTTTTTAGCTCCTAGACAAATTAAACCTTATAGCGGGTCAACTTCAGCCCGTGGGCCACACTTTGGGCAGCCCTGATTTAAAATATAGAAATAGAAAATTATGGTTTGTGGTTTTACAGGAGCTATTTCTTGATAACAGTTCCTCCACCCTTCTGCTGTTTACTAAGAAACAGTTAGAGCAACTCCCCGTAAAAGAACATAAACCATATCCCTGTTGACAGATTTTGAAATCAGGTTAGTTTGATCATTGACAGAAGTGGGGAAGAGAGTGACATTGTGTTAAAACCTGATCACTCAGGAGGTCAGTACACTGAAAGTGTCAAGGGTCAACATGTCACCAGACACTCTGCAGCTACTATGTTAAAGAGAAGACTGAAAAGTGTGTGTGGGGTGAAGATGAACTCTCCAGAGGAGCTCTTTGACCTACTTGCCCTTCTTTGATCCCCTTTCTCCCCCCTACAGCCTGTGCTCTGTCAGCATCCCGTGTACCCAAAGCAAACACCAGCCTGCCTTAACACACACACACACACACACACACACACACACACACACACACACACACACACACACACACACACACACACAAATGCACAGACAGCAAACCGCCTTACTCCAGGCTTCACCAGCGTCCACACTCAACCCTGTGACGTAAAAAAAAAGGACATAAAAGTGTGAAATCCTCACCTCATAAGCGTTCTTGATATTGAGCGGCTGCCCCGTGGCAGCTACATGTCCCACAATGCCTTTGTTCCACTCCAGCCGGATGCAGTTACTGGAGGACTCCTCCAGCGTGGATCCCTCGGCTACATCGAACAGGCGGCTCACCAAGAACTTCCTGTTGGAGCTGTCCTCACCCACCTGGGACCACACACACACACACACACACACACAGCAGGAAGTGGTCACACGACTGATTTAAAACAGGAAAATAGATGGCCATGGGATAAATTACAGGTTACATATGATATGATTGTGCCTTACTTTTGGCTTACACTGCAAGTACTGACTACTGTAATATTAAAAAAAGACTGTAATGAAAATGAAACTCTCAGGAGTTGGTGGAGTGAATATTAGCCTTTATAATGGAAGACATTTTGACCTTCATTTTATTATTTACACACAGGTGTACATAATAAAATGAATGGCAGCTGAATTCCATTTAGCTGCTTCAGTTTCTGAGTCTCACTGTCTTGGCTTACTGGGACACTTTAACAGAATTAATTAAATCTGCTGTGAAAAAGACCTCCACCCTTAACTGAAGTTAATGTTTTTCTGAGTCTGCTGGATAATCAGCTAACATGTTAGCCATAGCAAGTTCATGAGGTCGTAGTTGTGTGTTTAGCTTTTTCAGTTGCCCTGCAGAGGCCAAAAACTTAATTAATGTAGCTTTAAGGAAATACATATAATATAAATTCTGTATTGCATGGTTGAATCCATTTATCATTTATGATGTTAAGTGAATACATTGAGCTTAAAGCCCCCCCTTCAGTCAAAAACCAGTGTTTCTCCCTGTTCCTACAGTGTGCTGTTTGAATGCTGTCTGTGCAGAGTTTGACACTAGAAGGATGTTTTCATATTCATCTGCTGAAAGTGGAAAGTTTCTCTGTGCTCATTGAAAATCAGATGTTAAGGGGTGGGGCCTACCACCATTATTTGTGAGATAACAAATAGTTTGGAAGTCAGTCCTGGTCCAGTATCAACTTGTACAGTGTGATGTAGAAACCTGAAGCCACCAGTGCACATCCACTGAGAATGGACTTTACAGAGAAGTAGGAGACATCTTGTGTCCAGCAGCAAAACTTTAGAAATGAACAACATTTGCATATAACATATCTAAGAAGGGGATTTATTACCCTAGTCTGGGTAAATATTATCACTGTATGGGAGGCATGTAATCAAATATTTGCCCCCTTCCTCAGTCTGACCCCCAGCCCTTCCCACTCCTACCAGGAACAGTGAGTAGCGGTCTGCGGCGATCAGCTCATTGATGTGGAGGAAGATCTTGTGGCAGAGTGCTGTCACATCCAGATGACTCGACACGTCCTTCACCAGCTCCAGCAGCCTGGCGCAGCGGTCGCCCCCACTGCCACTACCTTCCCCGCTGCATCCACCTCCATTACCTCCCCCACTGACACCACCCTCACCCATCACCGAGCCCCGTAGAGGGACGGTCTCGCGGTCAGCGTCGCTCAGAAACGTCAGAGAGCCCTCAGAGTCTTTAACTACAATAGGTCTGAGTGGCCGGTCGAACTCTGATGCTGAGATCTTGCGAGTCGGGGTGCCGGGTGCTGGGCTGGGGACTGTGGCCGGGGAGGGGCAGCGGCTGTCCAAAAGGCTGAGCGTGGGTGGGAGGATGGTGGAGGCGGAGGGGGGAGCGGGGTCTGTGGAGGACTGGTGGGTTCGCTGCTGTGCAGGATTTTCTTTGGAGGTAGATGGCTGGATGGAGTGGACGCGCTCAGCGAACCAGGCATTCACCATCTCCCTGTTGATACAGAGAAAAGGCTGTTTCAGATAACTGTTACTTAGTGTTCACAGTGACTAGACACCCCTTACATAATGATTATTTCCACCAACAAACATCCTATTTTTCTGAGGAGAGCACATATTGAACAAATGAGTAAATACACCAGATAACACACTAGCTGACAGATACACTATGATTTGCGACTGGTTCCAAACGGCAAACAATTACTAGCCCTAAAGAATGCACACTTTATCCAGTCAGTCATTCTAACTATAATTAACTACGATCAGACAAGCAATCCTAATGGGTGTCTTATCCTTAGTGTGATATGTAAAGGATCAGTGCGTAGTTATTGTTTGTATCCCAGCAAAACCAACCACAGGAGGTGTATATGAAAAGGGATGTTTCCATACTCTCTACAACATCTCTAATGGCTTCCAACATTCTTGTTGTTTTCAGTGAGGTTTGAAACTAGTTTCTTTGAGTTCAGAGACTAAGGGTTTAAAGCAAGACTTTGTAATGTGCACAACTGTGGCCTAAGTGTCAACTACAGGTGATGAAATAATGAAATGTCCTTCATTTCCCAAGATTCAGTTAAATACGTGGCTTTAAAGTACGTACTCTTTAACCATTGGTCAGTGGGTGGAGGGACCTCTATGTTATTTCTAGGTTAAAGGTCCAGTGTGTAACATTTAGGAGGATCTATTGTCAGAAATGGAATATAATATTCATAGGTATGTTTTCATTAGTGTATAATCACCTGAATGTAAGAATCGTTGTGTTATCGTTACCTTAGAATGAGCCTTTATCTACAGAGGGAGCGGACGCATTCCACAGAGTCTGCCATGTTTCTACAGTAGCCCAGAACGGACAAACCAGACACTGGCTATATATATGGCCTTCCTCGTTTTTTGCAAGTTTTCCGACCACCGTACTTTCTCCTACACTCTTCACAGCCTGTTCTCATTCCCAGGTCATCAAATGCAGACGCGAGAGATGTTCAGTTAGTTGCAATCTCCAACATCACCACTAGATGCAGAGACACTGGTCCTTTAACTAAATCTACCACAGTGCACTCAGGGTTGTGTGCCTGCTAGCTGCTGGGTGCTAATCAGCATTACACAACGTTGCCAAGCAAAAGAATTCATGCAGTCTGACCATTTCTTTTCTTTTAACGTTCGCTAATGTTGTTTGTTATTGTTACTGATCCATCATAGAGCTTGAACCTTTGTCAGTAGCCTGTTATTAGCCCTCATTACTCTGTAGCAGGCCGTAGTAAAATGCATGCACACTTAAAAAATAAACCTTATCCACTGAGGCTGGGGCCGATGTAGACATTTAAACTAGTTATTATGTGAAAACTGAGGTGTTTTGACTTCCTATCTATTAAACTGTTAAATATATTTGAATACTATTTTGACACATAATTAATTATTTCTATATAATAGAATATAGCATAGATCAACATACCTGAGTCCCTCCCGACCCGAAAATAACAGGATAAGAAAGCAAGTAGGTTTTGGTAGAAACTGAGTATATCGACCAAACACATGACCAACTGACCACAGAGTGTCAGACCTACAGTGAAACATTTAACATAGTCAAACTCAAACTCGTTAAAGTCAGTCAGGACAAGAGTGAAAACACCCTTTCTATTGAGAAAAGCCTGCAGGGCTGTTCTTTGCTCTTCTTCTGGTGCAAAAAATGCTCTCAAGTTCTGAGCAGCATCAATGCTAACCTCTTGATTAATTTATAATAATAATAATTAATTACATTACTTCTGTTGTCACTCCAAATCCAACAATCCAATGAAATCTTTGGATTCATTTTTGTAACTGTGGAGAAAACTAGCTCGGAAGATGTTACCACTTACATTCAGCAGCTGGAAATATTCCATTACTCAGATTTTTACAAACACAACTGGATTTGAATCGTCGTAAGTAGAGGCACAATTAACAATTTTGTGGGGAGTAGCAGAAATGTGATATAACTAGCAGTGTAACTAATTACTGTTGGCAGGGAGTAATAAGTAAAGTAATATTACTTTTGAAAAGAGTAACAAGCAAACTATCTCAACGCTGATATATTTTAATATTAAAACATGGATCAAATGACTGTGTGTGTAATGTGAAAGGTGTCGCCCACACAAACCCACAGAGAATTATCACCAACTCCAAAGTTCAACTCTGTGGAGCTTTTAAACCTCTTTCAGTTCATTTTTTAGGTTTTACAGCCCAGAACTTTTATTATTTTAGTTTGGTTTTGCAGCTCTTATCTACCTAGTTACCTACCCAGCAGACAGCACTTTAGCTTCAGGCCAAACCTATACCCAAAGTTTAGGGAAGTAAAATAATTAACTTAGGAGAACTTCTTTGCGATGGTTAGGGCTAAAATATACAAGAGAAAGCTTGTGAGTCCTGGATGCCGGAGATGAAGGTAAATATATCCACTTGCAAGTCACATCTTCCTCAACTAGTCCTTTCCTGTCTGAGAAAAGGATTTCTCACTTTTTCTGCACATTATATCCATCTGAAAACATTTTACAAGGCTACGAGAGCTGCAAGAATGAAACTTTTTTGAATTTAGACATCAAGTAACAACATGTCTCAGCAGTAGCAGCAGGAAGACAGCAAACGTGGGAGCTGATGAGAACACAACTGACAGTTTCATCACTGGAGAATATTTTAAAAAATGAAAATCTTTTTTGTAGCTAACATATGAATGATCATGGGTAATAAAAGTGAACACAGGCACTGTGGATATTATGTTATTATCTCGTCATTTAGCCTGTGTGTGCTGAAACCCCTTCAAGTGCCTAACATGGATATTTGCTGGAACAAATCCAGTGTGTGTGTGTGTGTGTGTGTGTGTGTGTGTGTGTGTGTGTGTGTGTGTGTGTGTGTGTGTGTGTGTGTGTGTGTGTGTGAACAGCAAATTGGATGTGATTATGGAGAAGCTCTCTAATCACCCAACACATTGTCTAATCAACTCCTACAACACGAACACACACACACACACACACACACACACACATTTTCCAGCATGCTCTCCTCTGCTCCGGCTCTAGTTTTCAAACAAGGTCTCATGACTCATTCTGCTGTTATTCAGCCCAGTCCAAAGCCTCTGTTCACCTGAGCAGAAGGCCCAAAACCTTGGGAAGACGGTAACAGGCGCAGGCCATGAAATCACCCATGGTATCTTGGGTTCTGAGCCAGGTAAATAAAATCTGGTGAGCCACAGAGAATTGGCTGTTATTTGACTGCAGTGCAGAGCTTTGATCGGGCTCAGGCACCGACCCGAGCCCAAAAAGATTCTATGCAAGCCAGTTTAATGTAAGCAGTTTTGAGCCTGATCCGAACCCACATTTCTGCTTAAAATATCTAAAAGAATAAATGAATAATGCAAATAGATTATTACAGACACTGTAATTATATGCACAATGTAGTTTACTTTAGTTAGCTTTAGTTATTTTAAGTGACACTGACTTAATTTGTGGGAACTGTAAATAATTTTATAAAGATTATGGTCTAGACCTGCTCTATTTGAAAAGTGTCCTGGGATAACTTCTGTTATGAATTCGCGCTATACAAATGAAATTGAATTGAATTGAAAAATGTTGCATTCATTTTGTAACGACGTATTGACAATAATGATGTACTGTGAAAACAAAATACCAACTAAAAAGTACTTAATCAGGAATGTGTGCCTTATAAAACTGAGTTAGTGTCACTTCAAATTACTAGTAAGAGCTGCCTAATCAAGGATCTTTTTTAACTTACAATATTTTGTTTGTGTTACTTAAAATTTCTGATGTAATTTGTTCTAACAATTTATTTGGGTTTAAAACAGTGTGGTCTGTAATAAACTATGTGCATTATTTAGCAAAATGATTTCAAAACAATTAAATAACAAATTCACTCATTAATTACATTTGCATGCATTATTAATAAAACATTACATATATATATATATATAGTTTTAAATATTATTCCATCCAAGCCCGAACCAAGCCCGACCTACAGCAGCAGCTTTGGGCCAGAACCCGGCGGGTCATATGGGGTTCGGGCAGAGAAACATAGCTCTACTGCAGTGTGTCAGGTTGAGTTCTCTTTACTCCATCTCCCATTGAGTCGACCCTAATGTATCCAGTGGAGGTGTGGCTGAATCAATACCTCTCTAAGAAATGCCTTTCAACCAGAACAGCAGAATGGCTGATGTGTGCAAACCCCTTGCGCCGAGCCAATCAACTTTTCTTTTTTTATTTTGCTTTCGTAATAAAAACAGCAGGAGAGGGTAAAGATGTGTCCTCTGACAATGCTTTTTATGGAAAATATTTTGGGATGGCACTGAGATATGTGTGCTGCAGTTACCGGATGAAAAGAAAACTAAGGAAAGTTGCCATGGTGGTTTAAGTGGTTAAATGGGTCTGAAGGGGTTTGTCACTAAAACAAACACAGTCCTGGAGTGTCCCGATCAAGTGCTGCCAGGCTGATGAAATTCCCAGATATGCCTCTGCAAAAAAAAAAAAAAAAAGCCTTATATAGCTGCTGCTGCCTGAGAAAGACTGATTTGGAATCTGTGTTTGCACAAGAAATTAAATGGCTAATTTGCTCCCAGCCATGCTCTCTGAGATCTAAAGGGAGCAAAAGAAAAAAGTAATTTCATTTATGGCACAGGCACCTTAGTGGAAGGCTTGTATAATTATCACCATGGACCTATTCGGGCTGAGAATTAAACAGAATCATTGGCAGCAGTAAAAGTTAATGATTAAAGGGCCCCTGTGCGACTCTGGGAGCTGTTCCTGATTGTGAAGTGGATGGTGAAATGAAATAGAGCTGAGCTGTGAGAGGAAACAGCGGAGAGAGACAGAGTGCATGACAGCAGCTCTGCAGGTAGACCACCTGAGCGGGGACACAGGGTGCCCAGGTCACAGTGGACCCCGACAGTCACTCCTACAGGAGCGGACTGTCAGACAGGATCAGTGCAAGTGATCCCTATAATGAAAAGCGATGCAAACT